TTTTGTAATCCAACACCATGGCTCAATTTCTCACTTGGTATAATTAGTAGTTTATGGTTGCTAATAGCATTAGTAAACTTTAGATAGATGTTTCTGACTCACTGAGTAGTTAGTTCATACCCTTCTCTACCTCCGCTAATGGTAAGATAAGACAGAAATGTCTTGTTAAGAAATTAGGTATTTTACTTTCCACCAAAATGAATGAACACAGATAGTGCTAGCAAACAGACAAAGAACCAAAACTGAAAAGAGTTACCAAGAGTTTCAAAACCGTGAAGTAAGGGTTAGCCTTACCCCCACATGGATAAGTAAGTAAGTTATGTCTTGACGGAGTTATGCAAAAATGCTTAGCACCAAAGAAGGCTAATCTTTTTTTCAGAGGGGACAGAGTGTTAATTCGTCACACAGATTAATCTAATCCTAAAATTGTAGCCTCAGTGACTCACCTTTGACGCCGCATAAGAAGGATCACACATCTAACCTGTAATTTCCTGAAAGACTGAGCCTCCCTCCTGCTAATCCAGCCGAACTCATGACCCGGCCTATTTCCTCCGCTCTGTCATGGCCTGGCCTCCTGTACATATTGGCCAGACCAGTCGCAGACAGGAATCAGATGTTAATTCGATTGGTTGTGGGTTTTTTTTTTTTTTCCATTGCTCTTCTCACTAACAACACCTCCTGTGTTATCTTTTTGCAGAAAGTAGACCTGGCAGTGGCTCCTCTGGCCATCACCTACGTCAGAGAGAAGGTCATCGACTTCTCCAAGCCCTTCATGACGCTGGGGATAAGTATCCTGTATCGCAAGCCCAACGGCACCAACCCCGGGGTCTTTTCCTTCCTCAACCCCCTCTCACCCGATATCTGGATGTATATTCTGCTGGCTTGCTTGGGTGTCAGTTGTGTGCTGTTTGTCATAGCCAGGTAACATGTCAACACTCCCTCTCTCGTCTCTCCGTCCTCCCTCCATTTCTCACCTACTTGTTTTGCCTGCTTTCTATAACATAGCGGTCGCTCCCTCTGGAGCTGAAGAGAGTAATTCATTCACTGAAAATCATCAAGCTGTGACCAGTAGAAAAAAACACATATTCCTGTAAATGGCAGTGCATGCTTCTTTATTCTATGGCCCTCGTGATGTAGATATGGTCTAGGACAAAAGAATATAAAACTCACTGTTAAGGAGCATACCAATGTTTTTCACACTGTTAATCATTTTCAGTATAACGAAACATTTCAGATGCTTTCTTTTTGTCAAATTTGGGTTCTCATCATTTAAAAATACAAATGCACAAGCCGTCCACCATGTTACCCAGAAAAGATCTCACTAAGGTTGGGTGCCAAAATGCTAATGGCTGGTATCTACCAGACCCAATCACAAAGCAAATATCACTGCCTCATTTTGGTGCCTGAGCTTTGTACTGAAATAGTGTGCCTATACTTACAGGCAGGATAAACATCACATGCCCATAGTTAACATGACACTTAACTCTGGTGGCACTACTGTTACCATTGTAATATCTTCGTATTTTATCTTCTTATCGTCGACTGTCGCTTTGTGCTTTTTAAAAGAAAATGTATCTGCTCGGGCACCATTTAGAAACAATACTGTTTTTGGAAAAAACCCAGATGATACCCAACCCCACATTTCACAAAAATAAATTGTTTAACCTGAGTAATCCGGAAAATAAATATTGTATATGAGCTTAAGCAAAAAGGAAAACACTGGTATGACTATTTAAAACTGATTCCTCACACTTTTCCAGGCGTTTTTTCACACAAGCCTCACAAACTGTAAAAATCAGCTCTGCATTATTAATCAGCTGTAAGAATTGTCCAAGTGCAATGTTGACATTGTGCGAGCGCAGTTCTTACAACATCTGCATGATCCCACCTCCCTGAACCACCGATGCATGAACGACGTAGAGATGATGTAGATGTGTGTGTTAACCCCAGGGCTCCTCGTCTTCCGCTTTGATCTTCGGAGTGTTTGGGTTTAATACACATTCCATTAAATGTTACCGGCAAAATGATCACATGAGAGGAAAGCTGCAACTGTCACCTAAGTTAGCTCAGAATATGCAAATTATATACCCATAGCCCTTTGCTTCCACAGTTGTGTCAGGGTAAGTGATTAGCATGTTATATAATATTGATGCTCTTCTCTTTTATGAATCAGTCTGTCTCTTGTCTGCGTGCATGCTTTGTGCCGTCACTGTGGCAGTGAGTATTGTTTGTCCTCAGCGACCAAAACAATGTTCAACAAAGTTTAAATCTGAAGTACAGCGTTCGCCACAGGTCACCGAGCCGGTTCTTTCATAATTGTATAGTATTGATCACACAACCAACAATTGATCGGCCAATCCCTCGAATGCAGAGTATATTATTTTCTCTAATCCCCTGCAAATAGAGCGAGGGGAGTGAGTTTATGAAGTCCTGCTTTTTTTTTGCGTAATAAAACACCTCACTCACACCAGGGATTCACAACATCTTTGAACCACTTCCCACACGCACACTGTTTTCCTATCTCATTTCAAGCTCCAGAGAAAAACTTGCTTCCAGCTCTGTTTGTGGATGAATTGATTTCTCTCTTTGTCAACATAACAAATGATATTCTTCTTGCAAAAACAGAAAAACCTGTTCTGTGGAATGGCTGATTTAAATTGCATGATAACATGTTACCAGGCCGTTGCAGTTTTGCAGCCCGAATCCCGGACTGGTGTGATTTTAACGTCCCCCAACTCAGCCTCTTCACTTGGCCTGAGAGAAGAAAGGCAACAGATCTATAAAGCCAGCCAGAGTAATTGAATCCAACAGACAGTTAATGGAGGGAGCGTGTTGTGTTATTGTGGCCAGGGACGTGCGAAGAGGAGGAGGAGGAGGAGGAGGAGGAAGGGGAGTGGTGGGGAGAGGGAGAATCTTTTTAGAATTCCGTGTGCAATTCCACATGTCCCTCATGCTCGGTGTGAGGAGGTGACCTTATGTCTGCGTGTTCCACATCCCCTTCTTCCTGGTGATCGGTGTGCAGTACACGGCCCGCAGGAATATGGGCCAGCTGCAAGCAAAGGTCATACAGAGGAGGCATCGGGCCTGGTGCGTGCACAATACTCATGTAGACACAAACACAATCCAATCAAGTGTGTTTCAGAGATTTACACCCACTACAAGCACATATCTCCTGATGGCACCCACAGTTTGCCTCAGGCTGCAGCTAAACATTATATGTGACATCTGTGAACAACATAAATAAATCATCACAGAAAATATTTGACTTTGAGATGAATTTGTTTGAGCCAATGCAAATACAGTCGCTACCACGGAGAGCTGCACTCCCACACAGCTATCAAGGCACATGCACAAACATTCATGCACCAGCAGCTTGATGCACCTAGGCATGAAACCACACACACACACACAGACACACACACTGTATTCCGCTCAGCTCCACAAGGCCATTGTGCCATTTCAGTTGCCTGTGGTTCCAAGGAGACGGAGCTCATTGACATTCCAGTAAATCAGGCATCCTGATGGAGTTGGCGGGAGGAATTATAGTGTGTCATCGCAGCCGCAACCACGTAGATGATTCCCAAGGGAACGGCGGAAAGAAATAGCTGTAAAGGAAGAGCAGCATGAGAAAAATGTTGCCACTTTCACGATGCTTGTAAAATGAGACTCTTAATTAGGCTGCTGCAGCAACAAAGAGCGATCAGAGACATATCTGGATGCAGATGTACAGCAGTCAGGCAGTGCGGATAATAGTGCCATCGCTGATTATATAACATTTGGTTTTGTAATCTGTCAAATGCTGCTTTGTGTCTGTGTAAACACGGTGTGGACATATATAGAATTATATATGTGCCCACCGGATTATAAGCATTCAGCGTGTTGGGGAACAGCTCCTAAACAGCCTAACCTGATGGACCCCTCAACTCTGCATAAGCAATGTTCCCTCCATCAACCACTTCAGCACAAACTCAATCAGTTCCTGATGCTTAACGCACACCCAATCACCCCGCGCTAATGCCATGCCACTTTTACTTAGGATAATAGATGAGAAATGTCCACGACTGACCTGAAGATACTGACAATCAGCTGAGGCAAGCAGCAAGAGGATGGGGAGGGGTGAAAGACGGAGGTTCGCAGGGAGAAGCAAGGCAATCTGGGGGAAAAAATGAGGTGCGGGTCGTTGGAGAGGGAATGGTGCAGGATATGGAACGGAGATGTAGGTGTGAGGGGAATGTGACAAAATATAGGAAAATCAGCGAGGGAGGAACAGAGGTGGCTCTTGGGGGAAAGGAGAAGGAAGAAGGAGAGACCAATTCCCACTATGCTGACGTGGAGGGGGGCAGTGTTGCGTCTGGAGAGTAATGGTGATTGCAGTTGCTGGGGGAAATGCATAAAGGCTCCTGAGTCAGTGAATCCAAATGAGCCCCAAAGATCATCACGTACTAGGACATTATAGCCAGTGACAGTGTTATTCCAGACTATTGATCTGAGTTCACAATAAACTGATGGCATTTGAATATGCCAATAAGTTGATCTCAGCAAAAGCTTGAATGATTTGCTTTGGCCTCTGCAGAAGCTCTGACCCTGAGGCCACAACACAGGTTTCCTCCACATTTACATTCCCCTTTTTTCCTGCTCAGTGTTCTAAAATTTATAATTTGTTCTGCTGTTTAATCTGCGCCAGCGAACACACTGTTCTTTGCTTTGTGCTGACATATCTGTCTCTGCTCTCTCTCCTTTATAGGTTTAGCCCTTACGAGTGGTACAACCCGCACCCGTGCAACCCCGACTCAGATGTAGTGGAAAACAATTTTACGCTGCTCAATAGTTTCTGGTTTGGAGTTGGGGCTCTCATGCAGCAAGGTAGTTGCCTCAGCCTGTGGCTGCTGTTGCTCTGTGGAGCTTGAGCTCTCTATATCCCACTGTCTCTGAGGGACGGGTTGTTTTATGCACGCCAGTGGCAACAGAGAGATCTCTGGGGGTCCAGACGGAACTTAGAGTAAATGTGCATGTAATGGTTTTTTAATTTAATCAACTGAGCTCATAGGAATGCAGTAAAGCTACAGTGAATGTGGCCTAAAGAGAAGTATGTATGAGAGGGATTTAAACCTCCCTCATACCACTTGAGTAAAATCAAATTACCTTTGTTTTAAAAGCTTATGATTTAAACATTTTAAAAACCTGCAGCACAAACAGTCTTTGAATCTACGAGAGCACTGCACTACCCGTAGTCCTCTCCTCTTGCCCCTGGCCCCTCAGCACCTGGAGATCAGTGGGGTGTGGAGTCAGGATGTGAGGTTACCTTGGGTACATGACTCTCTGGCCCAAACAGCCTGTCACTTCTTCACAGTGTCATTATTAATCAGTATTCAATGTGTTTATTTGATTGGATTGATTTTTGCAAAGCCTATTTCCCCCAGAGGACGTTTTAAACGGCACTTCACCGTGTCTCCTGCATTATTTAAACCACCCGCTTGTGACTGAGACAAGATAATTTCACTAGTTTGAAATCCAACTGTCACCTTGTTTTGAGAGCTCTATCAAGTGATTACATCTTGACGCGTGCGGCACACATCCCGCCGCTGATGACTTGAAAAGTGTTCTTGAAACAAGTTGTCTTGTTTTTTTTAACTGATCAGGATAAACAATTAAATACAAGACTGGAATCATAATGTGGAATTGCTGAGATGTTTTTGCAGTGTAACATGCCACCTCCCTCACACACCAGGATCAGAGCTCATGCCCAAGGCCCTTTCGACTCGAATAGTGGGAGGCATCTGGTGGTTCTTCACCCTCATCATCATTTCCTCGTACACGGCCAACCTGGCGGCCTTCCTCACCGTGGAGAGGATGGAGTCGCCCATAGACTCGGCCGACGACCTGGCCAAACAAACTAAAATCCTGTACGGCGTGGTGGAGGACGGTGCCACGATGACCTTCTTTAAGGTAGCTGGGTCAGCGTATTATAGAGTCGTCCAATGAAGAATCTTTCTTTCTCCGTTATTAAAGTTAAAATCTTCAGCATGCTGGCTTTACAGTGACAAAACAATGTTGTTTCAATCAAGAAATCAGTGGATGATAATTGCCACTGCAGTCTGATTTCATTCCGCACTTGGTTGCAAGTCGCTTTTCACACAAAAGGAACCCCACTGTGCTCTGGGGTTTGTTACCTTCCTGAGAAGTTGGAGTTGAGCAAGAATCCTCTGTTGAGAACTGGCATCAAAGAAACGCTGAAAACGACTGTGGCTTGTTTTGTAGATGCATTTTAAAAATTGAATTTCACAATAAAAGCCACCAGTTTAACACTTTAAGCACGAAGCAGCAGCTCAGTTTGCATCAGCAGTAACTTAATGCTTCTCTTACATGGTGAGGGATAACATTAAACCGTATGTGGCAGTGGGAAGCCCTCATGCCAAGGTAGTACAGTACAGAAACTACCTTATAAAGAGGTATTTAAGATTGAATGGCTCCTGCTGAATAATGCTGAATGAAAAATAGTACCATTAAAATCTTGTTTCACAGAAATATTAATGTACTTTGCTTTAGTTTTGTAAGTAAGTTTGGTCATCTGTCAGTATTTAGAGCAGGCCACCATGTTTTAACTCTTAATGCTGCGTCCATTCTCATCCTGCTCCTTTTCCTCTGGTGACTTGCAGAAGACGAAAATCTCCACCTACGACAAGATGTGGGAGTTCATGAACAGCAGGAGGCAGTCCGTGGTGGTGAAGGATGTGGAGGAAGGAATCCAGCGCGCCCTGACCTCGGACTACGCCTTCCTCATGGAGTCCACCACCATCGAGTTTGTCACGCAGCGCAACTGCAACCTCACGCAGATCGGGGGCCTCATAGACTCCAAGGCCTACGGAGTGGGAACACCAATGGGTAGCTGACCTCAAATATGCGTCTGTGTTGTAAAAATGTTTGAAATGGCTTTGAGTCAAAGAGATTCTGTAGATACCATGCGACAGATGAAGGTGTATGGATGATGGATAAGCTCTGAGAATGGAAAGGTTGACCTTTATTGATGGGGTCGCGGGTATAATAGTTGGACAGAGTGAGGTGTAAAAGGTTTAGCTTAATGAAAAGTGAATGGCTCAAGAGGTTGAATTTATGGATAAGGTTAAAATGTGCCTAGGGCTAAAAAAAAAAACACACGCCAATCCAGCTAAACCTCTTTTTTTTATAGCTTTAATGATTTTCTCACAGTTTTTATTTACAGAAGCAAACCTGGGTTAAAATAAAGGCTCACAAATACTTTTAAAGTCAACACTGAGCTCACACAAGTGCAAGACAGTGGCACAATCACAGAAACCCAAAAGTCAATTTGGTGCAATTCCCTGTGTGATACTTGACACTGTTTGAATTGGGTTGTGCATTGGAACACAACAACAAAGCACTTCAGAAAGTATAAAGCAAGCTCTAACAACTGTGTTAAACTGCTTATTCAACCCAGTTACAGTCAAACAAATTGTGCCCTGACATTTTAAAGCCGTTCTCCTTTAGTAAACCAATCTTCTTTTGTTTGTTTTTTTACCAAACAATATCACGAATCAGATATTATCCCCCAAAAGTTTTGCCACTTATGTCATATCGTATGACAGCGTTAATAAATGTGCAGCTCACACCCCTGGCATTCGCAGGGACCCTGGCCGAGAGCCGCTGATAAGCCAGTGATGGTTCCAGTCCTGGTGTCATGGAGGTCAGAGTAGTCATGACGAGGCCAGGGAGAGCACTGCGACCTACTGTAATGGCCACATCTATCATCAGTGATATGAAGGCTATCAAAATATAAAAGATTAATTCCGGCCATCCACATCTGGACCCGGGTGCCGCTGATGAGTGTGAGGCAGTTATAGATCTGCAGAGATGCCGTGATTGCCACGGCTGTAACAAAGCTGAGGTGATGCTGTGAAATATAGTCCCACTGTGGCGTCATAAGTGCACAAGTACTTCCACTGACGCCCTTGAGATGGACGCAGACCGAGAACGTCTCTTTTTTACATTCATGTTGCAGCACAGTGTATCAAATATATGACTGCGAAATATAGCCCGAATCATTTTAACTCAGCTGTAAGTGGTTAAGTATTCAAATGCATAAAAAAAATAACGATTTAAAATGTCCTCTCTCAAAGTTATTACTGCCCACTAACTCATTTCAATCTCTTACCCTGATGTTCATTGCTCGGTATTTCAGAAATAAAGCTGATTATAGCCTGTAAAATGTTTCCTCTGTGATAGAAGAGGGCTGGAGATAATTACTTTATTAGTTCAGAGTGAGCTCTGTGTTGGTGCCAGCGTTCCTCTGCAAAGAGAGGGAATCCTTTTTGTGTGTGTGTGTGTGTGTGGCTTTCTCCTTATGTCCTTGTCCCAAACCCAATGAAGACCTCAGCCCGCACGTCAACCTTTAGCCCATAACTTTTGCCCCGCTGAGCACTGTTTAGCAGCTCATTCCCCGTAGGGCTGTTACAGCAATAAACCAGAGCAAGCCGTATAATAAGTCTTAACCGTTTAGCACTTGTCGGTTTTCACACGTCCTGTTCCCAGAACGCAAATGCGTCATCTACCGCTATCGACTTAAACTGTGATCGCATTAATACTTGAAGCCAGACAGTGTGGGAGTGATGGATGTCCTCTGGTGTTGAACATCTGTCAGGTAGTTGTGTATGCACGGTGTGTCAAGCGCGGTGCTCTAACATTCGCTCAGGCCCCACTCTCCATATCCTCCTCTCGAAGGACCCGTCCTATTAGCATTTATCCAAGGCCTTCTTTGTTAGGCCATCATTAATCATTTGAAATATGAGCGACGCCGGAATCGGGGGACTTGGATATTTGATAGATCTCTCATCTTCAAATGGGTTAGCGAGCATATGCCTTTCACATGCATAGACGGTACATGACTGCATGTTCAGAGGACTACAAATCTGCTGCACATGCACAGAATGTAGATATACATTTGCTCTTTCGGGTATCGAACTGTGCACGTCATAAAGAAAAGCACTTGAAAAATGTATTATTAGTATTTATGAACAGAGAAGCTGCTGTTCAAAAATCAGCGGTGTACAATGTATTTTTCAGTTTTCGTATCATGTCCTCTTTGTCAGTCTAAAGACACAGAGACTGTGAGATGAAGGGATGATGGATGGCGATGGATAAATGATAGATGAGACAGAGGGGGAATCAACTAAAGTGGCTGACAGGCAAAACTGTTCTGGAGCAGCAGACAAAGTGATGCTACCTTCTACCTGGGGCCAGATTCAGTTCAGCTCCCCGAGAGTTTTAGCCGCAAATTGTAAAATGATTTTTTTGTGTGTGTTGCCAGAATAAAAAAAAAATCCCATTTCACTGGTGTTTCAAGTCAGCGTGAATTAGCCGAAATGACTTAAATGTACCAACGGCCTTCATTATGTACGATTTCTGTTATCGCACAAACACACCAACAAGCTTTTAAAGGAGTTTATAAATGAAACATGAATGTTCACAGTTAGTATTAATCTAACTGTGTGTGCGCGATGCCTTGTTGTGTCACACACGCTGTGGATAGGAAAAGAACACGACCCCACTCGGGTTCTCTGCAGCGTTTACTTCTCCTTTGATCACGGCAGCACCTGCTGTGCTTTAATGCCTTGGCGCTAATTCTGGCGCCTTCCCACTGTCTATGGATTGTGGTGCTTTTACTCAACATGATATCAGCCTGCATTAAAAAACACGCACACACACACTTTTAGAGAAACCCTATCTCCGGTTCACACAAATAATCCCACACCCATGTGCACCCGTGTAACATACACCCCACCGGGCTGCCCTGATTTGCCTGTTTATGTGCAGCATATATGGCGTCTGAAAGCGCGTGCAAACAGCAGCTAATTCGTCAGAGTCAACAGCAGCTCGGTCGCACAAAGCCATGTCTTTGTTGCCAACTCCCTGTGCGTTAGAATTCACACACTGTGGAGAGGAGTGAGAATTTTGGAATCACTCTGTGAATGTAGGGATTAGTGGGATTTGAAGGAGAACTTACAAAAAAACTCCTTCTGAGCAGCCAACAATAACATGACATGTTATATGATCATATACGAGCAAGTTTTACATATATATATATATATATATATATATAGAGCAATGACAATGATATACTCGGCATAATCTCTTTTTTTCCCTCTATTTTGCTGTTATTCGTGTTCACCGGCCTCATGTTGTGTTTTTGTCCCTGCAGGCTCTCCATACAGAGACAAGATCACTATAGCCATTTTGCAGCTGCAGGAGGAAGGGAAGCTGCACATGATGAAGGAGAAGTGGTGGAGGGGGAACGGCTGTCCTGAAGAGGAGAGCAAAGAGGCCAGCGCCCTGGGGGTGCAGAACATCGGCGGGATCTTCATCGTGTTGGCTGCGGGACTGGTGCTGTCAGTGTTCGTGGCCGTGGGGGAGGTCCTCTACAAGTCTAAACAGAACGCACAGCTGGAGAAGGTACTGCAGCCATTTCTGACACATTCACAGCATCAGACATTCTGCTGTATTTCTGTTGTTCTGTCTCACTCATTTCCTCTTAAGCTGTGTTACATTTTGGATTTGACATCACTCATATTTATTCATGTCTCAGTTTCTAAATTTAGATTATTCTGAAGGGGGATTGAACAAACAAAACCCAAAATAAAATAAAACACAGCATGCACGCATACATTTAATTTGCATTTCCATTTTGTTTCATTAATTTCCAAATATTTGTTTGAACCCAGCCCAGGTTGGGTATCCACACTCTGAGGTACAGCTACAAAAAGACTTAGGTTGATATTCTATTCACTTGATCTGCTTATCTCAGACCTCTGAAACCTCATATTAGCACCGGCTGCGCTTAATTATTCATTTTTGCCACCTTTATTAATTTGATTTCGCATCATTACCGGATCAACGATAAAACCCTTATCCTTTAATCACATGATTTATATGAAATGAAAACATACCTCTCCTGCCTCTGGTTATGTTCCTATACTCGCAAGAATAATTCCAGCCACTTCATCCGGGCTCTATTTCAGTGCACATGATTCATCGCAGTGTGGAGTATAAGCATTTAGGTGCATTTGAACTTGTGCAGTGATGTGGTGAAGGTACGTTTGATAGCGCATATTTAAATTATTTACATCCACAGAATTACAGCTCTACGGTATTTTACTTTATTGCCATGGAAATTCATTTCTGGCTTTTTTTTACGGGCTGCATATGTTTCAGAGAACATCCTTGATGACATTAATCAAGAGCTGCAAGACTAGGTCACAATATTCAGATAATTTGCAAATGCCACAGTCTGTGGGCTACTAAGGTGCAAGTAATCTACATCCCGACTACAAGCCTCTCGTTCTCCGTTTTCTTGCCCTGCCAACCTCCTTCACCATAACATCGCCAGGTTTCCTCATTTTTTTTCTTTTCCATCCCCCATGTTTGCCATCTTTCCCCCTTCGGTCTAATCCGTATCCCTCCTCATTATTTTTCACCATTATTTCCCCCGCTCACCCTCCCTGACCCTCTCCACTTCCATAATCACTCATCTTTTCGCGAGTGCACAAAATATCTCATTCGTATGCCAGACAAACAAATGTAAAAGCGGAGAAACAAACAGAAATACCTGGTGCATAAGCCACCCACAGATATCCATTTGACACACCCACACAAACAGAAAAATAATAGCTTCATACTTTAATGCTCTCCCTCCTCTCTTATATCTCCTCTCCTCCCACACCCTCCGAGAATTTGAATTAGATTTTGCATAATCAGTAAGTGAATGTGTGTGAATTTGTCTTTGCAACGTCGGCACACAAGCATATTGGCATTTTATGGGATTTCACACCACATGCATTATGCAGGGACAAACAGACGCTCATATTACAGAAGTTACATAACACGTGTCAGCGTGAGTGGGTGATGGATGCTTTAAAAGAAGCTACCAATATTTTTAGGGGGATTTAATCTGTTGAAAGTGAATGTTTCGTCTTTTCTGCAGTGTCTTAACATTTTCGTCTTGCGTGCCAAAAACTACGAGTGTTGTTGAGTGCGTTTTGCTCTGGATTTAGCTCCTGGCAGCGAGCGAGAGCCTCTGGAGCAGCATTCAGACCTTTATGTGACAAAAAGGAGGAAATCTGGGACACATCAGACCTTTAAGTCCTGTTTTTCAAAACATTGTTCAGTCATTCAGTGAATAGTTTTGACTTTACTCTGTGTCCATTGCTGGAACTCAACTTTGAGTTTCACAGTCTGTTCACGCCCACACAGGTGCTTTTTAATTACTGCAGCTGATTGGACCCGCTGCTCGGGTTAAATATGGGCGGAACCCCGTAGGAGATTTATGATGTCACTAATCTGCGAGCACCAATAAGAGTGATGTTAGGGCAGCGAGTCATCCCGCCCTGACAGGTGCTACAAAATTAACAGAAGAGTGGAGCTGTCAGTCAAAACCCAGTTTGTCCACGCCCACACAGTCCTGAGGACACGGCTCATCAGAAAACTAAAGGTGGACTGAGGCTTTAAAGAATAAAAAGTCAATCTATAATAACATTTGCTGACTTTACTTCTAACTTGTTGATTATAAATAGCATTGTTAGATTTCTCAATCTTATTTTTTTTACACAAATACCAATGTTTACCCATTAAAATCTAATAGTTTATTTGACATACTCAAATGCAAAAGCTCATAGTTATATAACTAATAGGTCAAAATACAAGTATGACAACTAATTTAAAAGGTAATGACTTCTTAAAAGAAAACGAAGGGTCTCTTGAGATCAATATCGATTATTTCCTGATTGGAAGGACAACAGCATAATCACCATCACACAACATTAAACAGAAAGAAGAAGAGAAAACACATGTCATTAAAGGCACAGTGTCAACCATATGTTGGTCCAGTAACTCATAAATGTTAATATAATGTGAGGCTTAATTGATTTCTGAAATATCAACGCCACTGTTTGAATCATTTTTAAAAATCCAATGTTAGTGCCCCCCACTTGTAAACAAAAGACTCTATGCTCTCTTTGTCTTTTCTACAATTTTTATGTCTAACATCGTCTATCTTATCTTTCATCCATGCATGTGTTGCCTTCCTCATGATTGTAAGGTACTTTGTCTCAACCACTGTTGTTTTTAATGGTGCTATATGAATGAATGAGTGCTTTCCTGGTCCGGAAGAAGAATGAAAAACAATCGTCTTCAGAATTGACTTTAAAACGCTAAAGTCACAATCAAATTGTACAAGTAACTTTTTGTTAAAAATGGACAGTCCAAAATGTGTTGCTAGTATGGAAGCAAATACATTTTCATCATGTTTTCCAGACATGTATCCTTGGAGAAACCTCTACCACAGCATTAGCAGTACACAGTAGAGTTGTGTAAGTATGTGTAATGTGCCAGATGTCATGGTGCCGGCCATAACTTTTCCTTCTGTCCCGTTGCCTCCTGCAGCGGTCATTCTGCAGCGCCATGATGGACGAGCTACGCGTGTCTCTGAAGTGCCAACGCCGGCTCAAACAAAAGCCTCAGCCCCCCGTCATCGTTAAGACCGAGGAGGTCATTAACATGCACACGTTCAATGACAGGAGACTCCCGGGAAAGGAAACCATGGCGTGAGCGCTAAACGCACCCCAAAACACTCCCCAGTAAAACCAACGAGAGGACAGGGGGAGACTGGGAGACATTAACGCTGACTTAACCCCAAACTGAAGTTAGCAGTCCAAAAACAGGATTCCTTTTGAACCCACTTGCTTATGTAGACAGATGTTTCCTGTGGAAATATAGAAACCTGAGCAGTGTCACCTCACTGTGACGTTCACTATTTTGAAGGGAGCTGGAAAAGGAAGGACTTGTGGGGATTTTTGTGCTGATGACGTGTGTAAATTGAAACGATCCGAGTAGGTTTGGGATAAAAAACATAAGTGTGAACACACGTAACACATGTATGCACACACGCTCATCTGACACCTGTGCAGAAGGGAAAACTCTATTGTGACAGTAACACCAGATGTAGATTTTTCTGTTGATGTCAATGCCCTTTTGTCTTACCTCCATGTGTGTGTGACACCCCCCTCCCCCCGCCCTCCCCTTTGTTCCCTCCCTCCCTTCAGTGGCTTGAGTTCCTTTCAAATGATTTGAGCAAACGCTAATCTCACACCAACAGCGGGAGCAGTAGACTGATCCAAACGGTTTACTGACGTGAAACTGATGTATAAAAGTGATGTTTAGTTCGGATTCATCTATGCTGACCTTGTTGACCACCCATCGTTTTCTTCTGTAACGCCTTTCTTGTGCCAAAGGTCTGCCATTGTATAAGAACTTCCCATCATGCCTACTATGTTCGAAGCCTCCAAAAGCAAACGTACACTGTCAAAGTCCTCATCCATGTCCATCCTCACGCGCGGTCTGCAGTTTTCACTCTGTATCGGTTGTTGTTTAAAATGCAGTATTTCTACAAAAATGTTTGTTTTTGTACAAGAACGAGAAGTTTTGTAGTACTTTGTATCATGGTAGCCCCTCCCGTGGATAAAATATGTAGCAGATACCAACTCAGCCCTCAAACTCTGACAACAGGCGGCGGCTGTGGGGCTCAAAACTCTGCTGTGTAGGGTTCATCTCTGTCTCTCATCGTCCAGAGATTCAGTCTTTTTTTTCGGTCTCGTGGGGCCAACGATTACAGTGTCTGGGGACAATGTGGTGGATTTTGGTGGGTATATAAGAACAATGGAACTGTAAGCGAAGGTGGTGACTCATTCTACAAATTGCAACTGTCAGCATCATCCGTAACGAGCGGTTATTGTGGCTGAGTCATAGTAAAATATGCGAGTTTAGCTTGTAGATACCAGGCGATGATGTTGCTATCATGCTACATTTTAGCCTCAGGAAAACTGTAAAAGAAAAAATCTGATTTTATCATGAGACTTTTTTTAGTATCAAGTCTCACTTTTATAGATTAGTGGAAATAATGTAATAAAAAAATATAATAATACAATACACTGTACCCTATACTGGGTTTTTTGAGGTCATTGGTGATGATATATCAGTATTTTTTCAATTTAATTTTGATCATGTCCCACCCCTTCACAAAAGTTAATGAAAATGATTTAAGTATTTTTTTTGCGTAATCCTTCTAAATAGCAAACAAACAAATACATTTGATATGGATTCATTCTAACCAGGACATGTAACAGTAAAAGAAAATCAGCTTGTTCTCTAAACTACTTAGGACCTAGTTTTATTTTACTGCAGTTTCTTGTCACTTATCAACTGATATATACGTTTATTCCAAAATATCTAAATTAAGATTAGCCTGACCACATTGTCAGAAAAGCTTTACAAATAATTCATTATAGTGATAAGAGTGTTCTGTTCAGTTTGGTTATTAATACATCAGGGTATTGATGAGGCCATCATTTCTTTAAAAAGAGTTTTATATTTGGGTAGAAATCTCATATTTTAAACTTATTACAGAAATATTTCCATTAGGACTCGATGATGGACAGAAATGTCACTAGAAAATGTAGATATTTACACCACAGGGTCTATTATGGGGATCTTCTGGAGCTTTCTGTCATTTCATGGTCATCATCAGGGGATGTGAGATTTGAGGCGTGCTATGCTTTTTCAGTTTTCCCTTATTCCTCTAGTGTTATAGGTTTTCTGTGTATTTATAAAAGTCTATCAGACAGAGGCTGAAATTAAGATTATGAACCTGAACATGAGCATAATTTGTCTCCTTTAAGCCAACGTGAGATGAGAAATCTGAACAGTGGCTGATGAGGATCATGTCATATGACTAGGAGCTCCAGTTTGGCCACTTAACGAACCCTGTGGTGATATTATTTTTTTTCAACTGCTGATTTTAAGCTCAAGAGGGAATTTATAAGTTACTTGTCAATGTATGAAACATTACGGCTGCAGGTGTGGGAATAACGGCCAGCATCAAGGCACTTTGCTGTTTGTTACCATATATGATGATGATGATGATGAAGAAGATGATGGCGTTGGTGGCGGCTTGTGGGCGGAGCAGATCATTTATCCACTAATTGTCTCCAAACGTGTATTCTCTTCACCATCACACGTGGCCCCACTGCACCTCATGTATGACGCTGTTCCACGTTGAGAAATGACAAGCATACTCGGTGGGTCACGACATCCCTGACCCTGTCGTCTCATTCGACCAGTTTAATCATTTGGTCTGTTGTTCCACAGATTCCAAAAAACTAAAAGAAGAAATCAAAGCTGGCGATGCCATCTCAGCTGTTCATGAATGGATATAGTTAATGACTTATTTCATTTGCACATTATGAAGATTGACAGAGGAGACGTACGCCTGGAACCCGTTGGCGTTCTACCAGTGTGGCTTGTCATTTTCCACCCATAGCTAAATCTATAAGCTGAACCGATCGAGTACCCGAAAAAATCATTTATTCGAAACGACTACAAAGGCTTTGCTGTCCTGTCGAAAACAAAAATGAGCTCATGGAATTTGACATTGATGCAAGGTTTTACAAATAATGTCATTAAAAAATGTCATAATTGTAGTATGTTTTCATTTTATTTTGGTAAGAGATGCAGCAGAAAACGGGGATATGTTGTGGAATCTCTTTGCAGAGTGCGTTCAATGATGAGCACTACATCCTGCAGTATTCTGAAATGTCAGACTCTTCCTATTGATTAAATGCCCAAACAGTTGATTTGTATTATCTAAATGACTACATTAGGTAATTGCTAAATTGTTAATTAAATTAGGATTGTGAGTATGTTTGGGCAGCTGTTTTTTCCTGACTGGCTGTTGGGTGCATCTATCCACCTGGCTGTGTGCCGGGACCACACACTCAGAAATCGGGAATCTAGATGACTGTAAGTATATAGAAGTCACAATGATACGCAGGAGACTGCACAAACCTTCTGACTCTCCGATTTTTTTCATTTTTTATTGTTATTTTCCTCCCACAGACGACAGCGGGCGGTCAGACAACTCCAGCTTTTTGTTTCTTCTGCGGGTAATGATGAAAACTGTTTCTGCGGGCCGACCTCTGCCGCCACAACATAAATGGCCACCCTGTCTGCCCTCCAGATTGACAGGGAAGGTCAGAGCATGCGTCGGTGCGTTCAGCAGGGGCCGTTTAGTCTGTCACACTTATTTCCATCATATTAAGTCTTCTTCCTTCTTTTCCTAAGTGGTCGTTGGAAAGGTATCCTTAGATAACATCTTGTTCATTAGGCAATTAATGGCTGAGATTGCGTTGTGGACAGAAAATTGCTTTCTGAATGTGACTTTGGTTTGTCATACAGATATTAGAGGGTAATAGCACCTGCCAAGGAAGGTTCGGGGAAGGAGGAAATGTATTCCTCAGCTCATTTCCCAGTGAGTTTAATAATTCAGGATTACAGAGTAAGAATCATGTCGACCCACTTTGATCTTTCTCAGTGGAACAAGAAGAAGAAGTATATGCACTTGTAAAGTCATTATGTACAGTAAGGGTGGGAGATAGAATAAATATCATCAGAGGTTTTACCATAGTTTATACTAGTGATCTTTATTTTCTTAGAATCTTTAAGAAAAATGGCACAAATCAAGGAGAGGAGCGGGTTTTTTGTATTATTTTTGCATCAATATAACAAATAACATTGATTTGCAACATTTCATTTCCTTGATTAACCATAAAACAGACATGTCAGACGTGACCTGACAGGTCATTGTATCTATAAAATGTTTTATCAGCTGCAACTCTGTTGATGGTAATGTTGGTCATTCCAGACAAGTAACAGTATCTCGTCAGCCATTGGACGGACGGACGGACATCTCATGTTCCCATGGGAATGAAGCTTCGGAGTAACCTGACTTTACTCTGGCGCCACCAGCAGGATATTGGATGGATTTCCATGACATTAGGTGACTTTTCACTTAGTATCAGGTCAGATCTTTAATGAGTCTAAACCAAACACACGTTAAATCACTCTCGTTCCCATGAGCCTCGGCTGCAATTTGTGTTTAGTGATTACCGGCAAAGATGGTTGACATGGTCGAGATCATATATGTTAGCACTGTGAGCATATTGGCATGTTGGGATTAACATTTAGCTCGGTGCTATAATCTTTTATTCTTGTTAACTTAATTCTGCAGAAAATGAAAAATAAAGAACACAAGTCGTTTTTGTGTTGCCAATTGAAGAAGAAGAATTACTTTCTTCTTTTTTCAGTGAATATTATCAATTTTAAATCAGTGCAAAATACAGGAAAATGGACCAAAACTTTAACAGGAAAAGTATTTTATTGACTTATTCATAATGAATGCTAAATTAGAATAATATATTTGCAAAATAGACATTTCAGCGAAAAGTGAATTAAAGTACTGAGTGCAAAAGTACTTTTTTTTTTTTATAGCTAAACTATGTTCATTTAATATTCAACATGTCTTTATTCACCTCCCCTCGGTGTAAAGCAATCACTCCTGCCATGGTCTGCATAAATAATTCAATCATTTGTTTCTGTGTGGCTCACATCAACAAAGCCAGTAGCAATCATTGGTGCAATATTCCGCCTGCGGTAGACGATTCCCCGACTCTCAACATTTTCAGCTCTCCTGTCTGTGAAGTTCAGCATGTATAATACGAAATCCTGGGGAAGTGCAATAAAAAGGGGAATTGCAGTGGCTGGCTGAGCCGGGCTGGTGTCGATAGTAGAAAAGTGATGATTTGATACGCATGAGGATCTTGCCCAGCAGTGCCATGTGTCCGCCCAGAGATAGCACAGGGAGGCATATTTGAAGAACCACCGGCCACACACAAAGATATGTAATGGTTTTACTGCTGCTAAGTGTCTATATGTGTGTTTGCATGTCGAGTCTCCCGCCATTTGCCACCTGTAGGCGGGTTTCTCCGGTCACACACGTGTACCCGGGGGGACAAACCCTGTTTTGGCTGCAAATGAATTTCAATTTGACGAAGTGATCCTTTGTGTCACATAACCATTCATTTGGATGTGGTTTTCTACCCGAGTGTTTTTTTAATTTTTTTTTATTCTTTGCAGTGGCAGATGTGTTGTGGTGGGTGGCAGCTGCAGAATGGAGGCGCACAGCTTGCTAAGTGATTCACCCTGCTCCTGGCGTCTCCGTTACCCCATGAGTCTTTTCACTGACAATGTTTTCATTTCTATTTGCTTTATGTGTAACTAGGGTGGTTGGCTCGATGCTTTGACAGCTCTGTCAGAAAAATGACGGCGCTGGTTGTCTCTGGGACTGAGAGGGGTGAGAGAAACTAATGGGGCGTTCGGAGGCTATTTCATTTCCAGGACCTGTTTTCCACACTTGTTCTGAGGAGAGCGTGGAGGATATGAGACAAAATCACATTTCAGATGGATGCTCCGTCTGATAAAATCCCCCTGATTGATACCGTGTATGAACAACTTCTGATGATATCTGCTGCGATTTTTATAAAATGCACACACTGTGAAATGATGCCGTTGAGTTTGGAACTAAAGTCACATCTCCTGACAGGGGAATCGCTGTTTTGTTCACTGCTGTCAAATAGCACTCTCGTTCTTCACCAAAATACCCCATTAGGTTCTTTCATACAAATGTTCCATTTCTCCCTCCCCCCCCCCCCTCTCTCATTCTCTGCCTTTGAGTCATTCATAGTGTTGATTCCACCTCTGGAGAAATACATCAGGCATAAGGCCCTTTTTCTTTCATCAAGGCAGCAGCTTTAAAGTAATTTTCCCCCTCTCATAGGGAGCCAAATGGAGATGAGAAGATGTCGATCCTCTCATCTCTTTGTCTGTCCCCTTTGATCTCTTTCAACATGAATTCCCAATGCACAGAAAGTAAATTGGATTTTTTTCTCTCCTGTCTTTCTCTGGAGCATGGTTGATCATACAAAATTGACCAGAAATGACTCTTAATGACCCCTGTGTTTTACTCAAGAAAAAAAGAATACCCCAAAACACACTCATGGCCATCATCACCCATAGTGCATTCTAATGAAGGACGAATAATGCGGGGTGCACTTGTAGAAGTAGTAGCCCAGTGCGCCAATGGTGTGAACATCTTCATGGAGGCACAGCCAAGGAGGTATACAAAGCTTTTGACGGTGCCTCCTGCGTGCCGGTGTGTCTTGTTGTCTGTCGCATTAGCAGACAGCAGTTGTGATTTATCTTGTATTCCCAGCGCAGGGGCCCCCTCTCTCTCACTGGAAAGGTTAAAGCATACAGCCTGGAGGCGGTACTACAAAGGTCAACACGCAGTTTAGGAATGAGGAATAGGACGACAGAGAGAAAGACGGAGAAGAAATGTACCCCTCTCATCTCCTCGGCCTGCTCACTGCCTTTGACATTGTGCAAACACACCCCTCTTACTGTTTGCAGCAAAGGCACGGCAGTATTTATTCTTTGGTTCTCTCCATCCTTTCTCCCCAACCTTCCTCCTCCTCTTCTTCTTCTTATCGCCGCTTCCCTGTGATACCTCCAATCTCACAAGCTGTAAAAAATAGCTGACCTTGACGAAGCCATCTCCAGAGATGGTACACGGGGAGAAAAAAAGGGGGAGAGCAGTATAGGGAAATGATGGTGGGCAACAAAGGGAAACTGTAAACAAAGAGCGTGGATTTAATGGACCCCCTCAAGCCTGGATGTGCTGAGGAGGAAGACAGTGAGAGAGACAGCTGGTTATAAAAAGCAAGGCACTGGGCCATTAAAGAGAAGCAGGAGAATAGAGAGACGGCTGTGAAGGAACACCAGTGTGTTTGGTGAGTCAGATGTGTTGAGGTGATTAATCTGCTCTGGCTGTGTCCTTCACAGGCCTGAGGGGGAGCGAGGATACAACAGCACCAGGTTTCCCCCTAGTGAGCGGAGTTGAGAACGGACGGAATAAAGGAAAATACATTTTTCTTCTGTCATCAGATGTCACATCATCAGATCTTTCTCATGTCTGAGTTCAGGCCTGAAGACAGCTACAGGCCAAACGTCAGACTAGGACACAGCGCCACCTACTGGGAACAGAATTTTTTTTTTTTTTTTTATCTTTTGACCTTTTCTCCTGCAGCAGGTTCAACAGATGAACTTGAAATCTGGTCAGAATATTGTGACACCTTAAAAATGCTCTTTTGATTTTTCAGAAACAATGCTTCTATGGTAACGCATCATTTTCCATGTAGTTTTAAGATGGTTATATCCCTAACATAGTAAAGTTCCAAGACTCACCTGTCATATATATATATATATGTTTGTGTGTGTGTGTATATATAGATGGATGAATGGATAGATTGATAGACTGAGTTACACTCGATTAGAAAACTGCTCTTCATGTGATAAGGGTTAATGGTTTAATTATAGTAAACAAAATGAAAAACAGGTTTGTGTGCAAATGTGTGTGAGAGTGAATGTTTAAATCTGAATCCCATAGAAAAGAAGCAAACATCTTACCACTCTAATGTCTAGTAGGAAATTATACATACTTTAATGCCAATATAATATGTTTATTTTCCAATCAAGTAAAACATTTAAGACATATTTTAAAAATCCAATCCAAGATTCACAGAGATTAAAAAAGGCAGTACACTTATATTGGGGCTAAAATAATGAGTGATATGCACATAGAAGAACATTTCCCCATTCAAAAGCAATCAGTGCTTGGCTCTAGACGTACTCCAGAGGAAACGAGCTCAGAAGACTCCCTCTGGCCTTGATGTAGAGAGTAAGAACACGGACAAACATGAGACCTGCGAGGTTACGAGTCAATACAAGGAGGTATCTGCACTTTAAACTGCCTTGGTTGGATTTAGAGGTCCTTTAGAGGTCCAACGGTCCAGTATGATTTCATTTACATAAACACAATAAGAATCCAACATAATACAGTTAAAAAAAACAGTAATCATCATCCCCTACAACACATTGTTCTCCAGTCAAGGCAAAGCACAGAGCAGTTGAGGTATGTGAACTTCAGTCATCTGGGATCATGGCGTGATACATCCTGTCCGTCTCCAAAGGCTTTTGATACGTGGTTAAGGATCATTGAGGTTTTTATATTCATTATATGAATGTAGGCCTATAGTTTATACTATTCTTGGGTCTTCTGTAGTCTTTGGACCAGATGTGCTTGTTTTTATTCACTGAAAACAGACTTTTCCTTCAATTACACATACACATTTATTTTAATTGCCGTCTGATGGAAACCTTGTATTTCCAGATTTTGTGATTTGGAAGTTTCAAACTGAATGTGTAAAAACAAGAAATTCATGTTATGCCAGAGGTGGGTTGACTTAGCTTAGCACAAAAAAGAAACAGCTAACTTAGCTCTGTCTAGCATTAGGGAATGCATACTAATGGACAACAGCTGGTTAGCTTAGTTTAGCGCAGAGACAGGAGGCCAAGGATAACTGCTAGCGTAGCTCTGTCTAGCACTAGGGCTAATGTTTTGCCACCAGGTGGATAGCTTAGCTTAGCAAATAGACTGGAACCAAGGGGAAACAGCTAGCCTAGCTCAGTCTTAGGATTGGTGAAAGTATGCTAATAAACAAGAAGCAAATAACTGGGACTTGAGTTGTGCCAGCAACTGGTTAGCTTAGCTTAGCACAAGGTCTGGAAACAGCAAGTTGGACTCTAAACAAAGGTAAGAAAAGCATTTCTTTCACTTGTTCATTAAGAAGCTAGCATCTCTGCTAATTTTAAATCTGTAGTGTTGCAATAATAAGGAGTAAAGTGAAGCTAAGATTTCACAGACTGACAGATGTGGATAAACGTGACGATGATTTAGCCTTTTCCCAAAATTTTAAAACATTTTCTTAAAATTTGGAGATGCATGGTTTTCACAGGACAGCAACAAAAATAAAAAGAATCAACTTTAAATACTGGATCATGAGAACACAAAGATATCAAGCATGAATTACCTTTTTAGAAAAGAAACACAACGACACAGAAACCCTTATTTCATGAAAGATTCAAACAGTTTTATGAGTTATCCCAGTTTCTTGTCCCTCTCTACCATCGCGGAGGGGCAGAGGTGAGTCTCAGATTGGTATGAATTTCAAAAATTAAGTTTGTAAGTATACTGATTTTAATTCTCAGTATATTCTGTTATGGCATATTACAGTATATCTGACACACCATGTTCATTGTTCAGGGTTTTGCTGAGAAACTGGTTCATGCGTGTTTGCAAATGTTCGATCTTGGGTAAAATCGTATGCAACATTTGTGATGATTGCATGGTTGGGACTCTTTGCATGTGTCGTCTCATGTTTGCATGATTAATAAGTAAGAGTGGGAAAATATTAAAAACACCAATTTGTTATCCTACATGCAGCCTCGACGAGCCTTTTAATTATTTCTAACTTAAGGGGGTTATTTCCTTGGCTGTGTTGAATACTGAACAGGACAATTAACAAGAGATCAATCAGTAGTTACATTGATTGGAAGAAAATATAAAGCTACTAAGAACAATAATATTACTATATTTGACTGTGGTTGTGTATTTTGTTCATAACTGGCAATACTCCATAGGAATTCTCTCAACTGTAATACTGCGGTCATAAGCAAAAAAAAAAAAATCAATCTTTAATCTCATGAGTTAGTTTTTTAAAAAGTAATAATATTCATCTTCATCAATCTTTTTTTTAAAGAATGACGTCTATGCAATGTCACCATTAGTACAAAAATCTACTGATTTCATGTTAAATGTTAACAATGCCGCTCTAAATACAAATTGCAACAAGAAGGGGCATCATCTCCAAACCACATATAACATCTGATTATCTGGGGCCGTTAAAAGAAAAAAGGAAGGCCGTGACCATTGAGCCCAAAAAGAAGAAAATATCTATTTGGTAATCGGGTCAGACAAACAAAACATAGAGATAGGCACTCCTTGTGTGAAGTACAATCCTATTCTTCTCCACCTTAGGCCCATCATATCAAGTGGTTACAAAAAACAGTTATGATAAAAAAACGTACAAACTAAAAACAACAGTCCATGTCTTTTCAAATATGTGTTCACACAGAAATGTAAAATATTTCATATTTACCAATGTCTATCGCTAGCCCAACAAACTGAGGTAAACTCACTGGCTGTCTGTAGCTACGTGATGAGGGTGCACCCACAGTATAACACGAAGCTGGCAGATAAAACTTCACCCTGGATGTGTGAGGCAAACATGCCCATTCTGAAAACTTGTGTAAAAACCTTCAAAAAAGGCCTTTTGATTGTAAGATATATTTGGAGTAACGAGGGATGAGCCGCTTCAAGAGCTGATTCGTTGAAAATGCCGTGAAACTCTAGTGCGACGAGTGGCAATTCAATTAACAAACGACTGCATGGTGGAGGTAGAGGGGGCTGGGAGGAGGTAAAGAGTTTGTGAAAGAATAGCGCGTATGAGGTAGGCTTTTGCTGTAAACAAAAAAAAAGAGTTTTTGCAGTAAAAAGAAGAAGAAAGTAACTCATCAAATCTGGGAAGGAAGACCAGGGAGTCTGTGGCAACACTAGGGAACGTCTCACACAACACCTCAGTACAACAGAGACCCACTGTTTACCGTACAAGCTCATCAAAAAATATACAAAACAAAAAAAGAAATGCACAACTATGTATAACTCAAGAGGTAGTTGCTAATATCTGTACATGAACTGGTTACATACGTCTCGTCACCATTGCTTAACAGAGTTTGCGGAGTCAGTCAGTGGATGATTCCCAAAAGAATACAATACATTTTTTTGGTTAATTCCCTGAGAACAGTTCATCATCCTGAGAGGAATTCTGTGTAAAAATGTAGAAATACATCATACAAAAAAAAGATGTTGTTTCAATAGAGGTTTGAGCATGGCCTGTGCTCCTTCTGTAGTTTGGTCATTCATTTTTTTTTTCTGTCATGCTGCATTGTTGAGATTCGATTTTAACGCACGCACACATTCAAAAAGCTGTACATAAACATAAAAAACATAGCAACCGCGTCAGCACGTCTTAACGTTAAATGCCTTCAAAAAAATAAAGCCAAACTCTTTGGTATAGAAATATACCAAAAGAAGTTGGTTGTCTACGTAGAGCTTTGTTTTGTTTTTTTTAAAACACACAAGCTTGATATCATCATACAAAGTTATTTGATTTGTCAGAACATTAAGATACAACTCCAAAGCAACCCAGCGTAAACTTTGTGAGGAGTCAGCTTCGGGTGAGCTCTTTTCACATTCAATATGGTCAGAGAAGAGTTGTTAGGTCACAAATAAGTGCCACTAAAGCCATACTTGGGATTCAAGTTATACCAAAAGCAGCACGCCATCTCTCTCTCACTTTATCTCTCTGTCTCTCTCTCTCTCTCTCTAGGGAACGTGACGCAGCAGCAGCGGTGGTGGTGGTGGTGGTGGCAGCGGCTGGTATAAGCATCGCATGGCTGGTGCTGACTAACAAATGGTAGGCACAGATGGAGGAGGAACAGGTGTTTGGATCTTACTGTAACACAGCTGGGAGAGCAAACGGCCTGACGTTCAGTGACATTCATTTCCAAGAGGAAGAATTGGTGGCGTGTTAAATAAGTAGAGCAGCTGTTGTGATGCTGTCACGCACAGTAACACAGGACGAGTCTTTGTGCAGCGTCTGAGGTGATTATCGTCTATTTGAAGTTATTGATAAGAAGGCGTGGCGATATAAAAAGGTTTGTCTTTGTCGTGGATGACTGGTTAAACTGAGAGAGAGAGAGAGAGAGGGCTGTAGGTTTTCACACGACAATAAAAAGTATCCCACGCAATATACACGGCTAGTCACCTACGTCAGAGCTAATTCCTTATATATGCATTACTTAAAATTAAGAGAATTTCAATTATATCTTGTGGCTTTACGTATATATTAATGACATATACTATGATTTATAAACTGTAAGTTATTTAAAACTAGTTATACAACAATCATAAGTGGAAATCTAACAATCGATTCATTACCTCGAATCAAAAATAAGATCTAACGTAATAATATGATGGGTTTTTTTCTGCTAAAAGCGTGTTTATCTATCATAGTAGGAAACTGAAGGGTTAATAGTGTTGACCAGCACCTGAAGACGAGGTGCAACAGTCTGACAGTTTTACTTACTCTCAGAGCGCATGCACACATACACACACACACACACATACACACACACACATACACACACAGTCTGTCAGTCGTGCACCACACATGCTTGCTCTTTTGACAATCAGTTGGTCCAGTCTATTTCATGTAAGAGAGAGGTATGTAGTGAGTGTTTGAAGAGCAGCAGCTCACGTGTTGTTTAAAAAAAAAAAAAATCCCTCTGGGATCCATAAAGTTTCCCTTGAGATCTTTAGAAGCCAAGCTAACAATCCTGCGGGTCTGGATTATCGCTGAGAGGGTCTTCAGCTTTTAAGAGTCTTCTTCTAATCCTTCGTAAAATGAGCTACCGTGTGTGCTAAAAGCGTGCATCCTGATTTTGTCAGAATGATTTGGGTCTACAGGATATTAATTTGCGGCTTTAAAAATAAAATGTGACCAAGCCTGTGAGGAAAAAGCATTAAAAATGGCCAACACTTAGGTCCAAGTGGGCAAGAGAAAACAAGGAGAGAAAAAATAAAGATTCATACCACGTTGTGTCACTCTTCAGCTGCACTGATTGAAACAAGAAAAACAGTCATTCCCTGCAGTCACCATTCCAGCGGTGGTTGCCATAGCTGCACCAGATGACAGCAAGTCAGTCAGTCACACACATTCACGCACGTCCGTACCCCATTGATCGTTGCCATAGCTGCGCTGGTTAGAAAATCAAAAAATTAAAAGCAAATAAAATAAAAGTAAAGAAATTAAGACCTCCCATTTTTTTCACAGGTGCGAGGTAGATGGGGGGGGCGGGGGTTCAGGTATCCTTGATTGAGGGGAGACACAAGGGTCGGGGATTAGCAGTGGATGGGTTCACCTCTGTGGGTTGTTTTCAGGATTTCCTCCACCTCTGGGTCCGGGGGCCGCGGTGTGTTTGGGGCTCCTCTGGGGATGAGGAGGAGCCCTCCAGGGGAGATGAGCCGGAGCGCTCCTCCTCCTCGTGGGGGCAGAGGTAGGGCCCGGTCCCTGGGCTGGTGGCCGAGGTAGACGCATGTTGGTCCTGAGAGCCTGTGGGGGGCGCCAGCGCCTTGTGGGGACACTGAGCCACCATGTGCGTAATGCTCTGGCAGTAGTGGCATTTCTTTGGCTGGGGGGGCAGGCCACACTCCTTGGCATGGTGATCCAGACCTCCACAGTTATAACAGCTACAGGGGGGAGTGAAGAGAGAAGACATGGGTTTAATATTTTCTAAAAACAAAAATGCACAGATCATCATCACATAATTTTCATGAACAGAATCATAAAATTTGTAGATAACAATTCATAAATGGAAGTAAATATCTATTATTCCCATTAAAATAAATACATGTGGCTAGAAAAGACCTTCGAAGGGTCTATTCTCAGCCCTGCAAAAATACCTGCTCCAGCCTGGATTCACCACTAGATGGCGGTATGATATTGCACACAATATTGCTCTTGCAGTGTGAGTGGCACTCTGTGGCATGCCAAACTCCACCATGTTATTAACTTTGACAAGAAACTCATGAGTGCTGAAAGGGCAGCAATGAAATGAGCGAAGGAGGCAGAGATTTCCACCTGTCATGATGCCACCAGTCGTTCCGGCACAATTTCAAATAAAATGGACAGTTTTTGCTGCTTTAGGTGTCAGATGCTCTTTTCTAGTTTTATCGTTGGTCTTCTGTTCAATTCTTAATAATACTTGAAGTATCGAAAATTGTAAAACATCTCTATTTCCTGTTGATTTTAAATTAACAGCCAAACAAACTCATGTTGTCTTGGCATAGAGGCGGAAAGCAGCTGAAGCTCATGAATCAGTAGGGAAGGATTTTAAGATTAGTCAGATTTGATAGAGCACCTACACAGTAAACAAGTATGTCAGCAAATTACAGCCACTACATAAGAAAAAACAGCTTTTACTCTTAAGTTTAGTTCAATCTTTGTTTTCTCTGCAAATGACTTCAATTACCTCCAGGAAGCATTGAACAATCATTGTTTTCTTTCCCTCTAATTAAAAAGAAACCCCTGTAGACAATTAATTAATAAAAGAGGTGAAAATATCCAGCATTTGTTTCTTACAAATCAAGAACAGTGTCACTTGGAAGACAGTTAACTATAAATTTGTTAATAAAATAAAATTTAAGGGCAGGTTTTAAAATGCTACTAGCAAGTGTGCTCACAACTAAATTAATTTAATAAAAATACTTTGATTAATGATCTTTAAATTAATTAAAATGTTGTGTTTGTGTCAGACTGAAAACTATCAAAATTTACAGAAATTAATACAATCATAAATTAAATTAAATTCTTCTCGGTAACAATATTTGTGCAATAAAGAATATTGAGAACATAATGCAGCACTTGATGTCAAAACTTTATTGATCCCTCCAGAAAAATGTCCTATGACTATGAACTGTTACTATTTCACATTGATCAATAACTTGATGTTTAAAGCTGTTTTATAAATTAAGAACTGTTAAGCTTGACTTTGATATTTTGTATTGATGGCTATTGAGAATCCACATGACTAATTGATTAACTAAATTAAAAAATTAGAAACCACTATAAGAATCAGCATTTTTTTCTTAAAAAATTGTTAAAAAAATTAACTTTTGCACAATCAAGAAAATCATTTAATAGATCTTCTTCAACAACTGGATTTAAAGATCCTACTTTTGAACTAATTTGTGATTTTGCAAAATGCACCACTTTCATAATCAATGTCTTCACCTATTATTCGCACACCCGCTGATTCTCCTGCACAAGTCACATGCACATGAAACACACTTGAGAAAGCTGTGATCTGAGGAGCACCAGTGCAAAGAATGGACCACACAATGGTTTTGTTGCATAACAGAGTGACCAGCAGGGGTCAGAGCAGCAGAAAATGTCCCACAGCGTACTCACAAAAAGGCGTATGATATCTACCTGCCATATATGAATCCAATCCATCCTCCATCCAGGGGCACAGGGTAGAGACACTTGACCTAACACTGGATCAATTAACTCAAAAGAGCTGAATTATTCAGCTGTGTAAAACAATCAGGGAGCCGTCTCCCCAGATTCTGTTACCCCCTTTCAGACTAAAGCATCTCTTTTCACACCTCCAACAGAAACTAGTTGGCAAGGGGTAGCCCCACTGTAGCTTTTCCATGACAGAGCTTGACATTTTAAAGTAAAATGCAGCCTTTTCGTCATGCGATGCCTTCCTACAACAGACGCAGTACTCGCTCGGCTCTGCCTGGTAGGGTTTGCCATACATCAAATGAGGGCATGCTCTGTCTGCCTCCTGTGTTCCAACCACTGGGCATTTTCAAAGAGCTCCATATGGCTCCATCTGACACATTTCAGCAAACCACCCTTTAGGATGTGGCTGAGGACAAAACAATTGAACCACTGCCACATTGAGATGCATATAAAGCCAATCCATGCCTTTAAGGAAGCCATCTCTAATGTAAAAGCTTGCAAATTGATTGAAAATAGCAGCAATGGCAGGCAAAGTACCCTATTCAATTCCTTATAATGGTGCACAATAACCATAGCAACAGGCATGTGCTCGGGCAGATTGAATAGATTTAATCTATAATCTCAGCCCACTCACAAACGGCTCGGTGCAGTGAGATATATGTATAACATGTCTTCTACTACCCTGCTCTGTAAATGCAGCCGCCAACACTCACACACAAACTACTACATTCCTGCAGAAACAGAAATACATCAAAACACATTTCTTCTTTTATTTTTTTTAATCATCACACTCACCGGTCTCCCTTTGGTTTGCGTTTCTGGAGTGGGACCTTCCCCTTGGGTCTCCTTTCGCTGCCTGAGCAGGGTCCCCCACCTGGTCCAGTCACCCGCAGGGACTCAAGGCCCTTAGAGGACTTCTTATAGGTGAACTCCACCTGCTCACCTTCCTTTAAGCTGCGGAAGCCCTCCATCACCAGTTTGCTCTGTGGGGGAAAAAAGCAATTATCTATTTAACAGAGAGAAAAAAATAGACAATATATTCACACCAGAGGCTAAAAGTGCAACAAAAGTGACATTTTAGAGTCAAATTGATTAATTGATAATTTACTTAATAAGAATTCTAATAGAAAATGTCCTAAGAACACAATTCAGTGTAATGGCAGTAACAATATCTCAGTCATTTAAATGATCGTAGAAACCCACACGTCCTTGAATAGTGATGAATAATTTGCGATTTAATTCATGTCAATTCAAAAGACATAATGTTTAAAGGCTTTAAATACACAGTGGTATGTTTTCTACCTTGTCCCTTGTATTCATGAGTATTTTTATTTTTACCTCAAATAATAAACTGAACCAATAAAGGCTGAATGCTTTACAGATAAATGGGTTTCAACCAGTGAGTGAAAGAGTCTCTGTTTTGAGCTGAAATATATTTTTTTAATGAGACAACTCAATTTAGCATCAATGTTATTTATGTCCACATCCATCAGATTGAATTTAACATTCACGCTGTGTGAGTGAACAAACAACCATCAAATCAACACGTTGTCTCTAAATAACGAGTCGAGACTTATCAACACTTGCTAGTTTACTCTGGAGGCTTGTCGCTGCAGCAAACACAAGCCGAGCATGATGAACACAGGAAGACGTCATTTTCAAACATGGTGGATCAACTGTATGTGGTTTGCACCAACTGTCGAGATAGCTTGTGCACAGAAGGACTTGCTGTGCTCCCTTTATCTACCTTTCGCAGAAACACCACTTCCTATTCTTTCTGCAGCGGAAAAAAAGACAAGAGTTGTCTTTTCCACCAGTGCTATAATTTCCCATCAGCCCCTCCACCATCTGTCTTATCTACATGATCGGAATTATTGATTTGGTTTCTACATAACCACTGAACAATGATTTATGTCTCGTTGATCACACAGAATAGGCGGCTGAGAGGCGCTGGATCCTGGACCTTCATGAATCGCAGCCACCCCTGCAGATCTTGGCATATAGGTAAACACACCCACACAAGTGCAGAGTGCACAGCAAACCTACCTGCTACCTACTATACATCCACTCCTCCCTCCTCTCTCTAGATATATATAATACATGGTGTCTGTGAATACATGCTGAAGGCTAAAGAGACTAATGTGTAGGAGACAGAAAGAGAAAGGAACAAATGAACAGAGGGAATCAAATGTGAAAAGAGAGGAAGGAGCGAAAATGTGCTCAGCAGCATTTTTTTCTATAACGTCTGTGTCAACGACTGCAATTACAGGAAGCTAAATGTGATCTATAGGTATTTTATTTATAGATGTAAATGAATATGTACGAGATTTTAAAGAGCGGTGATGTATAAAAATGCAAAGTGACAAAAACATGTGAATTGATTTCAAACTAAGAAGAGTCTAGAAATCTGATTATCACGCTTGCTAGTAGCATTTTAAAACCTGCCCTTAAATCTTATTTTATTAACTAATTTATATTTTACTGTCTTCCAAGTGACACTGTTCTTGATTTGTAAGAAACAAATGCGAGGTATTTTCACCTCTTTTATTAATTAATTGTCTACAGGGTTTTTTTTTTTAATAAGAGGGAAAGAAAAGAATGATTGTTTAATGCTTCCTGGAGGTAATTGAAGTCATTTGCAGAGACAACAAAGACTGAACTAAGGGAGTGAAAAATATATTTTTAAATAGTTTTGGTTTTATTGTATGTCACTGAAAAACAAGTCTAATGAGAATAAACTTAATTAAATGATTTTTTTTAACCTTGTTTGATCCTTATTTTCAGAGAAATAATCAAAAGGAGTTATAGTGTAATAGAAATAAAAGCATTAGCTTACTTGACACCCTCAACTCAATATAATTACAAGTTCTTATTAATTAAATCTAAAAGAATTTACTGAATCAGAAACATATTTTAAGTATTTTAACTTTTTCAATGCAATACGATTTAAAACATTTAGTTATATTTATTATACTATATTTAAAACAATTGCATTAGTTTGTTTGCTAAATTAACTCTTTTTACATAAAATGTTAGTTTAATACATAAAGACTATTTAAAAGACAATGTTTTATTAAAGTGAAAATAAGGTTAGTACAATTATTCTCGCATTGCAACTGTGTGAACTATAATTATTATTTTAAATCCTTAAACCTAAAGAAAAAAGAAGAAACTCATGGACATTAATTTGTCTTTTTTCAAATAAGTTTTAAGTAATGTGCATATTTAGATGTTTTCATTATTTTCTTTTTTTTCAATCAATGTTAAGTATTAATGTTACTAAGCTATAAAGTATAATTAAAAAAGATCCATCACAAGGAAGGAAACTGCTTCAAATGAGTGAAATTTAATTAAAAACTTTTTTTGTTTATATTCTAAAATTTTACTAATTTTTCCGTGTCTTCTAAGATCAAACTTATTTTAAACTATTCTTTCAAATTACTTATGCACTTTGACAATTTCCCCAACTTTAAAACAAAGGGAGAAAAATCACTGGTGTTGAATTTTTCAATACAAGTCATTTGCCAAAAATGATTCCATTCCACTGGCTCAGAATTCCTCGTCTTTCTCTCCCTGCTGTTTTTGAAGGCTACAGCCAAGGCCACTGTGTTTCTGGTCAATTGCTGATGGACGACTCATTCATTTTGTGCGTTCGGGTATTGGATTTGGCTTTGAGGGGAAAATATGGGGATCTGGGAACGAAAAAGGAGGGAAGGCAACAGAGTTTGCACAGCAGATGTTAAGAGGAGGGAAGGAAACAGACGGGATGAGGAGGTGAACAACAGATAAGAGTTGATCTCAAATGCCTGGAGGTTCAAGATGGATCATTTATTAATTTCTCAAACAAAACAAAGCTTTTCTATTTTTTCATTAACAAAAAACACAAGAACCTGAAGCTGTTTGAACGTTCAGATCTAAATTGGTTTTATGATTACCCTGATTAGACCGGCCCAGTCACAGACGATCCTGCTGCGTTAATTGGTGAAAAGCAAATGTGAAAAAATTGCACCCATCCCCCATGATGTTTTCTGAATAATGATGAATAATCATCGACTGGTAGCACAAGCTCTTCCTCTTCCTCTCCTGTCTTCATACAAGCAGCTTGTCTCTCCAGGTCAAAGTTGAGTGGTTGTCTCAGCACCCTACCCCCTCTCCAACCCCCTCAAAGCCCACAATGCACCAGTGAGGAAACCACACAACCTCTTTTGTTCTGTAGAAATGCAGGAAAACACACACATGCATGCACACACACACACACGCACAGATCTTCTCCATATAGGATGTGGTATCACACTCATGCCTTCATGTCCTTGAGAGTTTAATTTCTGAAGCATGGGCTTACGACAGCTCAGTCTGCTCAATTATGTAATGAAAGGCATCATGTGTATTTACCTGTGTGTGCATATGTGAGTGTGTGTGTGTGTGTGTGTGTGTGTGTGAATAAACAAAACAAATAAACTCCACAAATCAGAACTTGCAACCCGAGTCTCCTCCTCTCAAGTGACCTGGCGGGTGTCCTGACCCGTTTCACTTTACGTCCGGAGGTCAGGAAAGGGCACCGCTTGAGAGAAGGAACGTCACAGAGAGAGAGAGAGAGAGAGAGAGAGAGAGAGAGAGGGAGGGAGAAGACAAAATGGAGGAGTGGCCTGGAGCAGGGGGGTGTTATAGCGGGATGAGGGGGCTCGTTCGGGGAAGGGGGGCGGCGGCCAGTGGTTCATGGAAATGCCTCCAGCACATTCTGTTCAGCTCCAGTGGAGGAGCAACTCCTGATCAGTGGCTGGACTTTAGGGGAGCCCGGGCACAAAACCCCCATTTGATAAGGAGCCCCACAGGTCAGCGGCAGAAATCCCGAGGGTCAGCGGTGTAACCATCCCAGCACCACCCCCTGCCCGAGTGGAGGACCACACCAGCTCTCTGCAGTGCAACACAGAGCCACCACTAACACATCCTACAGAACTGAAGAAACTGAACCAACAAAATGGACACCAACTCTAGTATTGCTTGACTTTTCTTTCCGGTTTTCTCATATGTAATAAATATCTTCCTATAGCCCTCTCTCTCTCTCTCTCTCTCTGTGTGTGTGTGGGTGTGTAGGAAGGAGCCAGCGATCAATACGGACGCCAACATCCTGGATAGAAATAGCTCTCCTTTTCATTGGCCAGGCCCTCGTCATCACCAGGCCCAGCAATCAATACAGGAAGCTGTAACATGAGGGGATGGGGAAGTGGAGAGGAGACCCACCAGCTATGGAGGGGCTAATTATGGGATGCTTTAAATCAGAGGTGGCCCACACGGAGCCAATCACCACGGATCGTGCTCACGTTCAGAGAAAAAAGGGTGTGTGTTCGGGGTGAGCGTGAGGGAGATGGCAGTCACCATGTGGCGTGGTGCCATTAAGTAGCTTTTTACACACAGGAAATGCTAAGTGGACAAAGCTGGGCCAGATCAGCTCAGATGGAGGTAACCCGACAGGACGCGTGTACACCAAAGAAGAAAGAGGGGAGAGGAAAAGGAGCAAGAAGAGCTGAGCGAAGGAGAGGAAAGAAAAACAAACTTGCAAACACGCCGATGAAAACCACCAACGGAGCCGCTCTCGTGACGCTGACATCCCGGCACTCCTCAGCACGTTGTCATTAGTGGCCCTGACCCTTGAACCCCTCCCAACCCCCATCAAACACTTAAAAGCCTTCATGTTTCCCGTGTCCGCCCCCCCCCCCGATGACCGGGGCAAATATTTGATCTGGGGGGAAGTGGGGGCACTCGATCATCTCGCTACGTTTATCAGCACGAGAGGGGAAATGAAGCTCGCTGAGGTGTCGGTGATAAAACGCACAACCTGCTAATAACTGAACCCATTCACAACAGAATCTCAACAACAAAGAATACACATTACATCAGAAACAGTGATGTGTGTCACAAAAAGTCTGTCCGGATCATTTGAAACTTTCATAATTTACACTTTTTACACAGATATCGTGCATTC